AAAGAGTCCAACATCTTCGTGAAATTGCACAGATCCCTAGGAAAAATACCTTTAAGAAAGGTAAGTCACTATTTTCACAAAAAAATGATTTAGTTGAGTGGAATGAAGAGTTTTATGAAGCAGAGTATCAAGAAGAATATGAAGAATCAAGAGTGGAATTAAGCTCTGATGAAAGTGATGTGATTGAATGGGTTGATGAAGAAGGTGAAGCCACAATAGAGTCACTTTATGAAAAGCTCATTGATAACATGCAAAAGCTTCCCAAATCAAATCGCCCAAACATATACTTAAAAAAATCTAGAACCACATTATACCGTAATAAAAAAGGAGGAGAAAAAAATGCAAAGGAAAATGGTTCAACAATGCTTGACTACTTTCATTCAGAAAAAGATGATTACAATTATGATTCAGGTGTAGGAAAATATGATGTTGCAATAGAAAAAATAGAAGAAACATTGAAAACAGGTAAAAAGATTACACCTGATTATAAACTTCGCCTTAAATCAGTTCAATTTTATTACAAATTGTTGAAGAAAGGAAAACCTAAAATAACAGCAAGTAAGACTGTGGCAGATATTCTTGATAAAGGTCAATGGTTTGCTAAATGTGTTCGAAGTTGGGGAAAAACCTATTTTACAACTAATCAGGTTCCAAGAAGTAATCGTGGACAACACTTTTGCAAATCTAGTTTTCTTTATGATGAAGATGTAGAAGCTAAAATCATTTCATATTTTAGATCAAATAAATTTAATGTTACAGTATCTAGCTTGTCAAAATATATTGAAGATGAAATAATTCCATCTCTTGGCATTGATAGAAGAGCAAAAATTGGGTAATGATTATGATATCTTAGATTTTAATTTTAGATTATTTTTAAATAAATTCATTTAATTGATTTATTTATAGTGAAAAAACAGTTAGAAGGTTGCTTAAGAGATTAGGTCTTGTTTATTCAAAATATAAAAAAGGTTTATACATCGATGGCCATGAAAGACCAGATGTGGTTGAGTATAGAAAAGTATTTTTAGAAGAGATGAAAAGGTAATTTGATTAATTTAATTATTTTAATTAAATGCTTTGAAATTTCTATTAAAGCCTCAAATCAAAAATTTGATGCAGAAATTCAAATTGATTGTGGAAACTGGTTCATTAATTGCTAAAAATAAATAGATATAATGGTTAAGGTGATATTGTTTTTATGTAAAATTAATATTTAAAAAAACTTACTGAAATATTTTTATAGTTTGGAAAATTTCATGCCAGCATTCACAGGTGATGAAATGGACACAAGGATTGATCCTGATCTTTCAGAAGGTGATTCTCTTCACATTTG